AGCCTCAGAGACCCAAGACTTTAGAATCAAGAGAAGAAAGGCCATTTCCTATATAGATGCTGAGCCTCAGAGACCCAAGACTTTAGAATCAAGAGGCCTTTCATGTTGCCTTTCTTTCCTTCCTTCCCTTCCTACAACTCTCTCTCTCTCTCTCTCTCTCTCTCTCTCTCTCTCTCTCTCTCTGTCTATGTAGCCCAGGCTGGCCTTGAACTCCTGATTCTCCTGCCTCCACTTCCCAAATGCTGAAATTTACAGACATGTACCACCAGTGGTGCCAGGGATCAAACCCAGGGCTTTGTGCATGCTAGGTAAATGCTCTACCAGCTGAGCCACACACACACCCAGCCCTTCCCCCCATTTCTTGTGAGGAAGAGCAAAGGCACAGGACTAATTTCTCCCCAATCCAAGAGTTTCTGAAACAGACCGATTCAAATAGTCACACAAAGATGAAATATGACAAAAAGGCACGTTGGAGAGGAAAGGCTTTATTTCTTTCACTCACGGTCCCATATCACAGTCCATCATTAAAGCAGTGAGGGCGGGAACTCAGGTAGGGCAGGAACCTGGAGGCAGGAGCTGATGCAGAGGCCGTGGAGGGGTGCTGCTTACTGACTTGCTCCCCATGGCTTGCTCAGCCTGCTTTCTTATAGAACCCAGGACCACCAGCCCAGGGACGGCACCACACACAATGGGCTGGGCCTTCCCCAATCAATTAATTAATCACTAATTAAGAAAATGCTTTACAGGTCTGACCACAGCCTGATCATATGGAGGCATTTTCTTAATTGAGGTTCCCTCCTCTCAGATGACTTTAGCTCATGTTAAGTTGACATAAAATTATCCAGCACAGGTTTTTTGTTTTTTTTTTTTTTAAGATTTATTTTATTATTTTTAACTGTGTGGATCTGCATGTGAATGTTCAGATTCTCCAGAGCTCGATTTATAGACAGTTGTGAGCTGCCTGCTATATTCTGGAGTTGGTAATGGAATTTAGGTTCCAAACTCAGGAAAGAGCGGCAAGGGTTCTTAACCACTGAACCATCTCTCCCGAGGTCAAACTGGCCTTGACTCATAGCAGTCCTCCTGCCTCAGCCTCCCAAGTGTTATAGACATGAACCATTATACCAGGCCTATGTGACTTCTCTTTCCTTTTAAAAAAAAGGTTGATTTATTTTTACCTCATGTATATGTGTGTGCCTGAGTGTGTGTGTGTGTGTGTGTGTGTGTGTGTGTGTGTGTGTGTGT